AATAGATGTCGCACTGTAGTAAAGCGGGAAGAATCTGCAAGAGTTTCCCTACTACAAACAAAAGCTCGCATACCTCCACATGCTCAGAGTGTGGCACCTTTAAGCCAGACTTCATTTGCCACACTATCAGTTGTGACCACTCCAGAAGATAGTAGCAAAACAGTTATTAATGGGGGAGCTACGGTTACAATTACTCCTTTAACCTCAGATGAAAGACCACAAAGACCTTGTAGTGCCTTGCCCAGTCTACAATCCTCAAGAATCTTTGGTATTTCGGAAGCTTTTGTTGTACCAAGATCCCACCCTATCCCATCTTCAGTTAGTAAAATTACTCTTCCAGTGTCAGTGACAGTTATGCTGGAATCTCACCACAAATCACTGACATCTGTAACACAGAATAAACTTTTAACAGAATCGGCAGAAGCCCCTGATCATGTTAATAGAAGGTCTTCCTCTTACAGTGTCCAACCTGGTTTAACTCTGAATACTGAAAATATGACAGAAAAACTTCAAGCATCATCACCTATACAAGTATTTTCTCGAAGTCCACAGTCATTTAAATCAAATCAGGATAATGTGAAACATTGTACATCAAGTGCTGTTGTATGTGGTGCTGGTAAATCTTGCAATTTGTCTGTAACAACCCTTCAAGGCATTTCTATACCGGGTTGTGATGAGAATAGCCTTTTCAGTGATGAGATTGTTTCAAGCTTACAGATTACAAAATGTGATAGATCACAGATTGATGACCATTCTACTTCCCAAAGTGCTTCCCAGTCATTATGCTCATCATTTTTAACTTGCAGTCTACAGACTAGCAAGTCTGACAGTAATAATGATGGTGAATGGAATAGTACATTAGGTATGTTAGGGAATATATCATCATCACCAACCTTGCATACATCAGGCTGTGCAACATCAACAACATGTTCAGTATCCACAGTACGCACAACGACATACTCTGTATCATCAACACCGCAACTAATAATGAATTCAGCATTGGAAAACATAGATTCACCACCAGTACACACCACATTGCCAGCACTATGCTCCATGTCACTAAGACCATACTCTGAATCACCAGCATTAAACTCCATGTCACTAAAACCACATGCTGCTTTACAAATACCACATTCCACTTCTACAACACTGCACTCCACATCACAAGTGAAACAATGTGCATCACCCACACCATACTCCACATCAACATCACGACACTCTGCATCACCGGGGCCACACAGTGCATCACCAGTGCCACACACTGCATCACTGAGGCCACATTCTGCATCACCGACGCCACATTCTGCATCACTGACGCCACACACTTTATCACTGATGCCAGACTCTGCATCACCCACACTGTACTCCACATCAACAGCACTGCACACTGCATCACCAACACTGCACACTGCATTACCGACGCCACACACTGCATCAGTGATGTCACACTCTGCATCACTGATGCCACACACTGCATCACCTACACTGTGCTCCACATCAACATCACGACACTCTACATCACCGGGGCCACACAGTGCATCACCAGTGCCACACACTTTATCACTGATGCCACACTCTGCATCACCCACACTGTACTCCACATCAACAGCACTGCACACTGCATCACCAACACTGCACACTGCATTACCAACGCCACACACTGCATCAGTGATGTCACACTCTGCATCACTGATGCCACACACTGCATCACCTACACTGTGCTCCACAGCAGTACACTCTGCATCACTGACACTACACATTGCATCACCAACATCACACACTGCATCACCAACACTACACCCTGCATCACCGATGCCACACACTGCATCACCAGCACTACATACTGCATCACCACCGCCATACACCGAATCACCAGCACCACACACTGAATCATCAGCACCACACATTCCATCACCAGTGCCACACATTGCATCACCAGTGCCACACATTGCATCACCAGTGCCACACATTGTATCACCATTGCCACACATTGCATCACCAGCACCACACATTGCATCACCAGTGCCACATGTTGCATCACCAGCACTACACATTGCATCACCAGCACTACACATTGCATCACCAGTGCCACATATTACTTCACTAATTCAAAAGACTGAATCACCAGTCCCAAACACTGCATCACCAGCACCACACTGTACACCAATGCAGCACATTGCATCACCAACACGACACACTGCGTCACCAACACGACACACTTCATCACCAGCACGACACACTGCATCACCAACACAACACACTGCGTCATCAACACGACACACTGCATCACCAACACGACACACTGCATCACCAACACATACTGCATCACCAACACGACACAGTACATCAACACTATACAGTACATCAGATTCATCATTGCCCCACACTGCTTCACTAACATTGCACTCAGCATTACCAGCATTGCACTCAGCATCACCAATAAGGCACTTAGAATTGCCAAAATATAGAGAATTACCGATAGTTTATAAAGTTTCACCGTCCTCATCTCTAAGAAAACAACCAGCACCCCAAGAATCACCCACACCACATAGAGAGTCACCAACAGTACACCCAGAAACACTCCCAGACTGTCTAGCAACACACCCATCAACAGCATATCTAGACTCATCATTGCAAAAGGTATCATCAGCAATATCTCTTCCAGTATCTTTAACAAATATTTCTAGAACACTCCAGTCAGCATCACCAGCAAGCTCCTCTCTGCCACTTGCAGCTCATGCTTCATTGATACCCTCATCTTGTACACCCTATTCTGATTCATATGCATGCCAACACACTTTGCCTGCATCTTGTTCATCACCATTATTTCTCCACACTTCAAAAGAGTGCACAAACCACCAGGCATCACCAACCTGTTGTACATCTGCATCATCTCTCACTTGCAACATACCAACTCTGCTCCCAAGTACAGTCTCTTCTCAAGCATCTTTGCCATCTCTTCAGATATCTTCTCCTGTACTTATGGGCAAATCCACTGTATCTCTTCAGACATCTCCTTTGACCCATTCTGCAGTTAAAACTGAAATTCATCAGACATCTGCACCTGTCCATAGGTTACAAACATCTGCTGATACCCAGGAACCTCAGAGACAAACAACAACATTAATTGCTGATGAGAAAGTTATGGTACTTGATAAGACAGCATCAGCTGAAAAATGTTTATTTTCAAATTTAGAGATGACAATGCCTGGCAAAGTTTCAAGGATAACTTCTCATAGGCCACCTACACATTTGAAATCAGGTGAAGGCCAACAATTAGAGGCAGTTCAGCAGTCAACAGAAACACTGAGGCATGTATCACAAAGGCCACAACTTGATACACAGCATTTGCCAGGAGAGAACAATTTGCCTTTAATTAATATTCCATGTGATGAACGTCCTACAAGTTACCAAGCAACTGAAATGTTGGAACAGGTAATGTATTCACCTCAACAGGGATCTCATGTAGCTGTCCAAGAAGCAAAAAATATTGCTAATTTTGGTCTTGGTGATGACAGTGTTCAAAGGCCAGAATTTGTTGCTCCACAGATTTTGGGTGAGTTTGATCCATCGACTGGAACATTCACAAGTAATAATCCGGTGTTTTTGCAGTCCATTCTAAGTAATAGTATCAATCAGCCATCTAGATCCTCATTTGCTTTGAATTCACCTAGAAATTCTATTAGTCATAGGACTACCTATCCACCCTCTGTTAAGCATGTGAGTGTGCAAATTCAAACTGAAGACTTTTCAGAGAATACTGACAAATGTACATTAGAGCCTTCTAACAACCACTGTAAGAAAGTCTCTGAAGTTAATGATGACGTGCATGGGGATATAACACACGATATGATGGAAATGGAAGAGCAGCAGCAGCATAAAATTTCGCATGCAGATGCAGGACAGCAGTTAGAGGATAAAAACTTTAGTGTAAATAGCTGTCATATTACTGGTTCCAGTTTTAATTTAGAAAGTGGTGATAATGCCCTCATGAAGGAATCTAAAAGTACAGTGGAAGGAAGAGCTGAAATTGAATATTCACTTACTGTAAAGGGTGAATATTCAAGTCCTCACAAACAAGAAATTTCTTTTGAAGATGTGGATGAGACATATGATTCAACTGTGTTTGAAGAAAGCTCTAGTGATTGTGAGGGGAAACAGGTAGATTCTACTAAGATGTTAACAGACATAATTGGATTTGAAAGGCAAAATGAGAAAATAGAAGAAACTGAAGGGCAAGTTCATATTCCTTCAGTGGTAGAGGGTTCAAATATAGATCAAAGTGAAGTAAAAAAAACAAAGCATGTATCTAAATCAGTGGAAGACAGGCGAGCTTCTCAACAAAATTCCAGGGTGAGTGATATCAATCAAGAAGAGCAAAATGCAAAGAATACATCAGAATCAGGAAATCTTTTAGACAGCCAGCTGATGAATGTAGTTACCTCAGGTTTGCTTTCTAAGGCTGCTGGTGTGAAAATTTCCCTTTCAGATACAGCTGAAGTTCGTAGCTCACAAGAACCTACACAGGTGACTCAAATCCCTAAAAAATGGGCTTCTGATGCAGTAAAAAATGAAACTTTTAAATCAAATACAAAAACTATAACTGAAAAAGAAATGAATGTTTTAGAGACAAAAGTAATAGATATAACAATGAAAGAAGAAACACATTTAACTACAAATGTGAATGATTCATTAATCTACAAGGAACTAAATGTTGGCTCACATTCAGATATCAGTTTTGTAAGGGTGATTAAAGACGGTAAAGAATTTTCAAGTGACGTTAAAAGAAATGAAACCCATTTATTAACTAATAAAGAAGTAGATGCAAGTTTGTATGGCTTTGTATCAGATGGTGAAAGTCAAAATAATATTTCTGAAAGGGGGGCACAAGCCCATGATCATACACATAACACTCCTGAGCTTTGCCTACCAAGAAATAGTCACATGTTAAACTCGTTTATAAATGAAAGAGAAAAAATGAGTCCTGTTCAACACAGCTGTGATTCAGAAGAAATCATAGAGAGTTACAAAGTAGTTTCAGAAGTCCCAGTTGAACATAGTCATGCAAGTGAGAATGAAACTGAAAATTCAACACTTGGAATTAATGAGGAAGGTAATAAAATCTGTGCATTTTCAAACTCTCAAGAATTTGAAGCAACTAAAACTGCATCAAGAGGTAGAGGGAGGAGAGGTAGAGGTAAGATAAAAGGTAGAGGAAGGGGAAGAGGAAGAGGAAGAGGACGAGGAAGAGGGAAATGGTGCAATGCAGCTGATGTTTGCGACAGTCCAGCAGCATCTTTAGAAATGAATTGCTCATTGGGAGAAGTGAACCTATACCAAAATGACATGTTTGATACATATGAAATGGCTGAAAGATCACAGGGAAATCTGCTGAATGATCAGGCCATGATTGATAAGTGGTCATTCTCTACAAATGAAAGTTTAGAAAGCTTGAGAGAAACTTGTGAGAGTGTTGAAAAATTCAGCAGAAATCACCTCATCAAGAATATTAATAAAGGTGATGAGAAGTCATCAGCAGTAGAAAAATTTGAGCATGTGTCACGTGGTGGCAGAAAACTGAAGCTTAAAGATTGGTGGACTGGTCTCGTAACTGATGCCTCTTCTCCACGCAGTAAAATTAATAGTGGTTACAAATTTTCAGCATACTCACCTGTGAAGTTTATGAACTCAAAGGAGGCTGTGGCAGATCCAATTGTTTTAAAGAAAACAGGATTGCTGGAATTCAATGATGAAGGTGAAGAAGTCAGAGTAAAAACAGAATTAAGTCAGCCAGATAGTAGACTTCAGTCAGAAGATAATATTTTAGATAGTGGAAAAACAATATCTGATTACCTTCCATCAATTCCTGTATGTGAAGATGATAATGAAAATGTTTCTATGCCATTGGTTGTGGATGAACCCCAAGAAACAAATATGGCTGGGGAACAGAGTACTTTACCAGTACCTTGTACAAAAAGGCGTGGGAGAAAAAGTAAAGGTTGTTTGAAAGCTAAAAAACAAAAGGAATTATATTCTAGCTTACCTCAGTCAGAAGGTGAAGTAAAATGTGGTAAATGTGGTTCTATGTGTAATTCTATGAAGGACTTCATATTGCATGCTCAAACTGACCACAATGGGTTAGCAAGACCTGATGGCGAGAATCAAGAATTTACTGAAGATGAGGTTAAGGATATATTTGTCAGTACAATAAAAGCAGGTAAAACTCTGAAATGTACAACATGTTTTCATTTATTTCGAAGTCCCGTAGGATTCATAAAACATAAATTACACTGTGGAGTAAACTCAGAAGATCTTAATGTAGCTTGTAAAATATGTCATAGAGAATTTAGATATTATAGCATAGATGCTCACATGAAAAATAAGCACTCGGAAAAACTGGTACAGCCCAAAAAGAAGCCAGATTTAACAGTCTCAGACCTTAGACCAAGACGCAAGGCTGCTGCAAACTGCAATGCCAGATTGCAAGTATGGCACAGCACCAGAACTGGTGAGTGTGAGAATGCATGTGATGCTGAAGATGATTATCATAAGGAACTCAACCTTTCACGGTTCTATGTAGAGCTGAATGGAAGTGTCAGTGAGGAATGCAATAAGAGATGGAAAGATGATATTGCTAATCACGGGAAAGCATCTTGTGTTAATGAAGGATGCACACATACATTTGCAACAATTTATATGGGACGTAAGCACTTTCAGAATTGTCCCTTTTTGCTTACTAAAAAGACATTCAACTGTAAAGTTTGCAACTTTATTACGACTATAGAAGACGACATTATTAACCACATCACTTCAGCTCATCCTGATGTATTTACACAGTCCTTGGAAGAAAGTGACATTGAGACATCAGATGATGAATATGAAGACTTAAGGAATTTAACTAGGAATTATGCAAGAACAGGTGGACAACTAAAGCCATTTCTACCTTCACTAAGTTGGACACTGGAATTTTTGAACAGTACAGTTTCAGAAAATCTCTTTTTAGACTGTCCTGTGTTGAAAGAGAATTGGAGTGTGCTCCATGAACAACTAGCTGCTAAATATTTACCATCGGTTAAGCATAGTCCGAAGTTTAAAATTGAAATGGTGACTAGTGAAATTAGTCAATCGGATCAAGAATGGCAAGAATTAAATCAGTTAAATGGAGCAAAACAAGGAAAAGGTTATGCCATATTCTGTGGCGGACCTATTGTAGCATCTGCATGGTGCCCACAGCCTTCATCAGTCTCTCTCTCTTCAGATATGCAGTATTTGGCTGTGTCTTCTCTCTCCTCACCTGAAGAGAAATATCACATTCTTAAATCAGCTGTTCATGAAGGGCTGATACAGATTTGGGCATTCTCATATCCTATGGGAAATGGTGAACAAACTGCAAAATTTTTGTTTGGTATTGCCCATGACTTTGGAAATGTATGGTCATTAGTATGGTGTCCCTCGGGTACTTACGATTTTATTGATGATGCTTGTATGAAGACAGATACTTTACCCAGATTAGGTCTTTTAGCTGCTGCATGTTCTGATGGAACTGTACGTATATTTTCAGTTCCACACTATAGTAACGTTTATATGTCAGATGCAGGAATATACAAGGCATTACCAAAAGTAACACTAAGCCCAGGTAAGACATATAAAGATGAAGCCCAGTGTCTTAATATTGACTGGTGCCGTGGGAAAGGACATTCTTATGTTGCTGGAGCTTTTTCATCTGGTGTTGTATACATTTGGGATATGAGTTGTTCATCTCCTTTAGTAAAAGTTAGTGATAACCAAAATAATTTCACCTTATATCCCGTGAATTCTTTTCTGGCACACAATGGTGTCTGCTCCGTAGTTGCATTTTGTCCTACCACAGATGGCCGAAATCTGTTAAGTGGTGGTAATGACCGAACTTACAAGTTCTGGGATTTAGAGAACACAGACATGCCTTTAAGTATAACACGTAAAGGACTAGTATTAGATGCAGTTTGGCTGTCCCATTGGGCTGGTTGCTTTATTGCATTTGATGATGTCTATGGTCTTACAAATACCAGCACTTGTTTCCGTGAAAATGGTTTTTTTGGTATTCAGTCTCGTAATGTACTCTCGTCTAATGCACCAGTGTGGTCCCTCTCTGGTTCTGACTGGATGAATGCAGTAGCTCAGGGTGATTCTGCTGGTGAAGTGATGATCACAGTACAACAGCAACTCTTTAGAAATTATGAAAATGATAAAATCCCATCAAAACGGAAGGTTCCTTTATTATCAGTGCGGTTGAAAAATATTTCTCAAGATTCGATTGTCTCTTTTCGTGTTTGTCAGGATTCAAAGCAGTTTCGGGGACCTGAAAAATTACAAGGAAAGGTCTCCAAGAAAAGCAAAAAGCCACGACAAGGACAAGAATTGAAAGACACTGTTGAGGAGGATGGTCTTTGTCCAGCAACTTATGTAGAGTGGCCAAGAACATATTTTGAGACAGTGCAAAATTATGGTCTTGTGTTCTTTGATCAAGACATTGAAGATTTTAACCAAATCCCAAGTGCTGAAATGGCAGAACGTAAGCGTTCGGATAGCATGGAACCAGGTCCGGTTGCTTGCTATCCAATGATGGCAGTTA